AGATTTTATAGGGTGAAAGACCCTAAAATTTAAGGTTGCTCACCCAGCCACCAACACGTCAAGTTCTCCTCATCAACTCGACGAATTGGTCCAAAAAGATGCACGACCAAAAATCCTTTCAACACATCGAGTTGAGACCATCAACTCACCGAGTTCCAAGGGAAACTTGATTTTTAAAGAATAATCTCATACTTGGAAATCAGATGTTACATAAAATGCCATTCGTCTCATGTGTAGCACACGAACATATGACTGTACCACACGAACATGTGACGCTAACTTGATCCAAAGAATGAAAGATAACAATAAACTATTGTTTTTCTATTAATGTTTGGTTGCCCAACGCTATATGTTATCAAACATCTTTCTTGTATAACATTGACATGGTTTTGCTTCGATTGGATGCATTGAAGAAAGAATCGTCCTCGAGTTCATAGTCTTGAATTCTTCATCTTCTTCGGCGTCCCTCTCAAAACTCAATTTCTTTGTCGTATTGTACAATGAATTCATTCAACATGGTCTCGGAGTTAACAAATCCATCAAAAAAATGCATTGGTACTCTCACTTCGTTTGGTTGTGCTCATAAAACCAAATAAAATATCATTCAAGAAGGTTTTAGCCCAATGTATACGTTTGTTATACATGTCACTAATCCTCCCATTTTGCTTCAAATTGTTCAATGGTGTCATTATTTACCCATTATCTATGCATTTCATGAAATCACTATAACGGGAAACATATGATCGAAGGTGTTCAATTTCATGCCTCATGACATGTCATGAACATAAGTGATGTCAAGTATTTGAAAACACCTTTTTTTATTACATTACCCATTGCTTCGTCTTGATCAGTAATAATTGCCTTCGGTTACTTGTTAAACATACATTTGATGAAATGTTCAAAAAAAACCATTCCAATGTCTCATCCATATCGTTTTTAAGCAATGATCAACCAAAGAATATAGGCTGACTATGATGATTTACCCCAGTAAAGGGAAAAAAGCATCATGAATTTGTTAGTCATATAAGTGACATCACACACAACACTATCTCTGAATTTTGTATATACATCTGTTGATCTACCATCAACTCAAAAGATATTTCTACGATACCCATCATCAGAAAAATCCACAACAAAATACTAGTCACTATCAACTAATATTTTATCTTGAAAATGTCTTATAAGTCCATATAACTCCTTTCCTCTATGTTTTTTTCGTTGCTCAGATAAGACGTCAACACATTGCTTTGAAGTAACATCAACTACATATGAGGTTTTCTTTCTATTCACAATGTTTTTTAATCTGAGAAGGTTCCAACACTGTTTGAATACATTAAACCATAAGATATTTATATTATATTGTATAGTGGAACTTCTTATGAGATCGATGCTTCATCACCTTCGTCTATGTCATGGTTAAGTTGTGATTATGTGTGTCATTAAACAAGTCCACCAACAACTTCCTATCCTCTGTGTTGTTATTCAAAGTGTTCCTTGACATTCGGTTCTAACATCTCTATGACATTTTTTCTCATTTTCACTTGAAACATTTTTGTCCATCTGTTTGAAACTTTTTTAGTTGCATACATATATTTTCCGATAAGACTCATTTGTTTTTGTGTTTTTAATTGTGTCATCTCTACATATATAAAACACCATGCAAAAATGAATAATCATTATAAAGTGTATAAACATGATTGGGTCTATCAAAAACCTTTCCCACTGTCATTTCATCATTAACTTCATCTTCATCAAATTCAATGTTCACATCGATACTGTTTATTTTTTCATATTCATATATTGCTTCCCATAATCGTTTGTGTCAACATCTTCAGTTATATATGGTTCTATAGCTTGATTAGTTGCTTCAGTTTCACTTATCATGGAATGAACAAGACAACAATGCAAGTTTCCAAACAAAAGATTAACACCAATAATTGTTTTATATTAAATACAATTCAAACATTATACATAATAAAGCACAATAACAACCAATAATGGAAAACTCTGTAACAACGATGAATTTGGCAGGGTGGAAGTCTGGTCCGCGGATTCTGAAGACGATGAGGCTCGTAGGCCAACTCATGGGAGAAGTTTCAGTGCGAAAGAAGAAGATTTGGTGTTAATCTTTTGTTTGGAAACTTGCATTGTTGTCTTGTTCATTCCATGATAATAGTGGACATGGGAGTGATATCTGCTTTGCTGCAAGACCAATTTTTAAGCAAATCAGTGAATGCGATCAAATGATTAACAAGGTAAACTATATTCTTGTATCAATCAATATACAAGTGTCAAGATACAAAACTGAACTAAATGAATTAAAATTCACATTTTCTAGTATTAGTAACAGTCTGAAACAAACTCGCTTGACAAATTCTAAATTTACCGATCAAATCAGCAGGGTTTCATCAAAGAGTAAAGAGAGACGTATATGGATAGAGAAGATTGAGTCCGACTTAGCCAAGTGTAGGGGCGAGTTAATTTATTTGCAACGACACAATTTAATGCTTTTTAAATAACGTAATATTTTTTGTTTCATTGCGAAAAAGCTTTATTCTAATATTACTTAACTGCATCTTGATTGTGAGATAATATTACTCAAGATGCAGTTGAGTAATATTATAATAAAGCTTTTTCGCAATCAAACAAAAAATATTACGTTGTTTAAAAAGCATTAAATTTTCTCATTGCAAATAAATTAACTCATCTTAGACTTGGCTAAATCAGAATCAATCTTCTCTATCCATATGCATCTCTCCTTACTCTTTGACGAAACTGTGTTGATTTGATCGGTTAAGTTAGAATTTTTCAAGCGAGTTTGTTTCAGACTCTTACTGATACTAGAAAATGTGAATTTTAATTCATTTAGTTCAGTTTCGTATCTTGACATAGGTATATTGAGTGATTCAAGAATAGAGTGTACCTTGTTGATCATTTGATTGCCTTCACTGATTTGCTCAAAAACTGGTTTTACAGCGAAGCAACTATCACTCCCATGTCCACTATTAGTGGCGTATCTTCGTATCTGTGACACATCAATTGTCACCATGAAACATCTTCCTACAGAATGCGAATCTTCTTCTTTCGTAATGAAACTTCTCCCCAAGAGTTGGCCTACAAACCTCCTCGTCTTCAGAATCCGTGGACGAGACTTCCACCTTGCCAAATTCAACATCAACTTCTTTTTCCTTTACAATCAAAGCATACATTGAATTATCAGAGTTCTTTTTCTTCCTTATCTCTTCAAGCTTTCAGAGATGGTAGGTCTCATCATCTTCTCCTTTATTTTTTTCATTCAATCTTCGCAGCATGCATTCTCTGGCCAAGTGATTTTTGCCATGACAATAATTACAATCCTAGTCAAAGTCACCAATTAGCTTTTTTCCTTCTTTTCCTCTTCCTTTTGTGAGCTATTCACACTCTCCTCTTTTACCTTCTCAGAACTTTAGCTTCCCTGCCAGTTTCGGTTCTCAATGGAGGGAAACTAATTCTTTGCAAATCACTTTGGATTTGACACCATCAATACAAACTCTTCATTTGTAGGCTCACATTCATAAAGATCAGAATCTAAACCATCCTCCGCTACTTTCTTTCCATTCACAACGAGAGCCAAACATCCCATCCCATATATAACTTTTTCTTCTTTTGTAACCTCATTTTCATGTTACTTCAGGATTCCAACAAGCTTTTCCAAAGTATAATTTTTGAACTGCTCATGTGCCTTGACTGTTGACACCAGCGCCATCCATCCGGATCTAAGCCCATTCATGAACGTGGCCTTTTGTTCAATAATTTCACGTCCAATGCCATGTTTCATCATCCTACTTAGAAGATGATTGTATCGATTGAAAGTTTGACTCAGACTCTCTTCAAGCTTTTGTGAAAAGGCACCAAACTCTGAAAGCAAGAATGTTAGTGTGGAGTGCTCAAGATTTGCATCTGTATAGTAGAGTTCCTTAAGCCTATCCCAGATGGCTTTGGCTGTATCACATGAACTAACCAGAAGAAAAGTGTTAGCCATCAAAGAAAATTCAATGATTCTCATTTCCTTAACATTTCTAATCAATTTATCTTTCTCATCTTAAGGGACATCTTTAACATCAAGAAGAAGTTTGTTGTAGTCAGATTGAGCTTTAATAACTCTTCTGGTTCCGGTGTGAACAAATTCTCCAATAGTGATGGCCTCCCATATCAGATATCTGTTTTCTTCTAGACCAAGAACGTAGTCTTCGAAGTGAAGCACCCATAATTCATATTCATTGGGTAAAAGAATTGGGTTTCTACTGGTTGATCCAATGCTACTAGAAACGTTTATGGAGTTGATGTGAGAATCGTCGTGCTGCATGATGATATACCTTTTGAAACATGCTAAGAATCAGACGTGTATACTGATGTAGTTTTAGGGTAATATTAAAATCACATATTAGCATCAAATAAACTGTGATGATGACTGAAGCAGATCCAATAATAACAGAAACCCTAATGAATTTATAAACAGAAGAAATGCGTATAGATTACACAATCTCCTACTCTGATACCAATTGTTAGGATATTAATTAAAAGATCGATTAGATTCAAAACAGATTGAAAACAAAAACAAGAACAAGAACAAGACAATGATTCAAAATGTGCTTAATGATTATAAGCCACAGCCTCAGAAGAACTAGATCAAGAATTGGTACTGTAGAGGCGTGATTAGGGTTACAAGAATATTGCCAAAGTTATGAAACACGGTGCATGCATGCACCTTAAATACTCTAAACCTAATAAATAAATGACGGGTGGATAAGCCCAACCCGATAAAAAAATGAATTAAACAAAAAGGCACAATGATGCAACACAATATCTTCAAGTAAATAAATGACAGGCAGTTGACTTATCAAGTCAATATTTTCTAGAACCAGTTGTGTCATTCGAGCTTTAAAGTACACAAGATTCACAACTGGATCATCCAATAACTCCAAAAGCTTTCAAGTTTCGCACTTTTGTAAATGTAGCGAATGTCCAATCCACTGATAACGGTGCTGCCAACTACTCTTCTCGTTCCGTCTCAAGCATATGAAACCATAGTTCAAGACATGAGTGGTTGCAAGATTATTGCAGTGAAGGTCACAGGTGCTATCGAAACCGAAAGCTTCCCAAATGCAATGTTCAAGGTTGCGAAAGGTTCTGGTAGTCAAGTTCACAAATTCACTTTCGCAGACCTGCCTTGTCTCAACCCCTATGACTGGATCATGCTTTACAATTACTGTTGAGAGATGGACAAAAGTACGAGCCCATTATCGCCCACCTCAAGCTGATGCTAGTTTTGTATAGTCAAGAGGTGGGAAATGGATGTGGAAATAACCGTTGTGCTAAGAAGGAAGCCCTTTGTTCAACCTAAAGAAGCTTCAAATGGTTTTGAGAAGTTAAAACTTGGGAAGGTTTATAATGAAGGGTGGTATGTGGTATTTCAGGCAAGGGAACGAAATGATGCAGGTTTTCACAAGGTATGTATCATTCTTCTTGACAAGCATTTGTACACCACTACCTTCCTGGAATATATTTTGGAAATGGTCCATAACTTCAAGGGTAATAGCCAGGGAGACAAAAAAATGTTTTTCTGATATGATTCAATGGTACATCCAAGTTGTGACAACCTGAAATTTTCCATTCTAATCAAACCATTTCAATCCAATAGAAGTAGAGCAGTTATAGTGAAAATTCAGACTTAGAATATAAGTTTAGCAGTTTCAGGGTTTTACACCTAAAGAGATATTAAGAGAGTGGTTGCACTAGGATTTTGTGCAACACTGTAATTCCATTACCCTAGATCATTAGAATCCATTCCGAGAATAGAAATATTTTCTGCCAAAAAAATCTCTGGACTATAAATAGAATTCTGAACCAAATTGGTTCATTAGTTGAATTCCATTTAGAGAAAATCCAATTTCTCTCTCACGGATCTTCGGGTTTTCATCCCAGATTGTGAGTCTACTTCCCTAGATGTGTTTTAATACTTGTTATATGCTTAATAACATTATTTACATGTCCAAAACACAAGATCCGGGAGCTTACGGCCCAAGAACATTCTTGGGGTGTAAACTCCAAAACAAGGCCTAAAGGCCATCTAGTCCCAATTCCTTGTTAGGTATCTAGGTTAGGATGATATGTATGAACATATGAGACTAGAAATCAATCAAAACCATTTAGTTTTAGGAGTTTACGGCCAAGGAACATCTCCTGGGCCGTAAACTCCAAGTGAAGGCACAAATGAGTGCCTAATGTTCCCTTAGCCTTAAAAGAAAAACCTAGAAGTCTTAAACTCATGATTTATGCCAACAAAACCATTAGAAATCATGGCTAGAAGGGAGTTTACGGCCAAGAAGCTCCCTAGGCCGTAAACTCCATGTTTTAGGTGCCAAAATGCCTTAAAACTTTCCCTAAGGCTTGGACTCTATTTTAGGCAAATACCCTAATGTGTTTAGGACCTAGGAAACATAAGAAAAGCACAAGTATTGAAGAGTTTACGGCCAAGAGTGGTTCTTGGGCCGTAAACTCCCATAAAGGGGTCAAAGGACACCCTAAACACTTCCTTAGGCCATGAGACAATTTGGGCATGTACCTAGATGAGTTATGGACTAGCTAAAACATTTAGAACCCCATGTGTGAGGGAGTTTATGGGCTAAAGGGTTCCAAGGCCGTAAACTCCATAAAATGGTACCATTTAGTGCCATACACCCTCCTAAAGCCAAGTACAAAAGCCTAGACTTGTTCCTAGAAATGTTTGAGACTTGAAAGCACCATAAGAACCCTCCCAAGGGAGTTTACGGCCGTAAAATCCAAGGGAATAGGGTCTTTGGGCCGTAAACTCCCCAAAGGAGTCAATATGGTGCCCAAAAACTTGTTTAAGCCTAGAAACAATTCCCCACTAGAGTTGTGATAATTCTAAGCTCCATTTAAGCCTTGGTTGAGAGTTTACGGCCATGAGCTTACTCCCCTGGGCCGTAAACTCCAATGAATATGGTCTTTTGACCTTAAACTTCCATTAGGGGCATTGCACTCCTTTGTTGCAACCCATTAGCCTCCTAGCATTTGGCCAAAAGTGTTGTCCTCGCGTTAAATGTTTATACATGTATAATTAGTGATTAAACCTCTAATTATTTATATACATATGTTTACATATGTAATTAGGATCATTGTGTGTGTCTAAGCCTTCACTTGGCACCAAGCACTTGTCCGATCCTTCCGTACGATAACAACCCGTTCAATTCCAGTCACTTACTGCAGGTGAGTTCATACCCCTTAACTAATGTTTTAAACTGTTTTAAATGTTTTATGGGGGGATACAAGTAGAATCATGCTACTTATTATGTCAATCACATGTGATTAGTAAGTAGGATTATACTACTTATTACATCAATCACATGTGATTAATATACAACATTCAAATGATTTGGCTACTCATTAGCCGTTTTACCAAACAGTTTCCTTCAAATGACTTTTTATAAACATTTTATATGTTTTAAACTCCTTTTTACACTGTACAGCTTACTCCGTACATTACCCTTCAAACTTATTTACAACTGTGTTTCAAACAAATGTTTCCTTATACTTAAACTGTTTTATTAAACTTATGCCTTCAAATTGTTTTATAGATTGACACCAAGTCGATCTTTTCTTAAAATAATATTTATGTTTCAAATGTCTTACAAAACTTATTTATGCTTTTATATTATAAATTGCATGCCTCTATATGTATAGTTATATAAGAAATGTTTAAAAGACTTAGGAAGGCTATCAACCCTATTTCCTTTTCGCGCCTTGAGATGTGGTCTGGTGGGATATCGGGTATTCGTCCGAAAGTCATTTAAATATTAGTTATATATCATGTGTACATATATAGTCATAAAAAGTCCTTCCAGTTCAACATATGCCCTTGGGTAGCAAGGGTATACATCCATGTCCATACTTACCGGATAGATTACTAGTAAACTACCATATGAGTAGTTTAGAAAGATATTAGAACAATTACTAGAACGCGATATCATACAAATGAGTCGGGTTCATTCATGAGTCAATACCTTCTAGAACATTACAGTACATTACTATACTTGCTAGATAGAGAGAACACACATTACGGCTAGCACTTTTACACAAGTACATATACATGATTACTTTTACATGACTACACTTACATGAGCACATTTACATAAGTACATATACATGATTACTTTTACATGATCATACTTATAGGAGCACTGTTACATAGATATATCAGGAGGAGTCCTATTACATTTTATATGTATCAAACTCTGTTATCAAAATCCTCATTCTTATCTTTACTTTGTGATTCAATCACATAATCGACGAGATAGATTGGATTTAATATCCTAGTACCAAAGGATACGTTGCGGATTGACCATTCCTAGAACCTCTGTTAGCTACAGAGGTAAAAGCACATCCACGGATGTCAATGGTTGGTACCATTACAGGTATACTTTAAGGGACTAACTATTCCTATACCCAGCTGTTAGCAACAGAGGTAAAAGTACGTCTACGGATGTCTTAAAGTTAACAAGGTTAGTTACCCTAGTACCAAAGGGTAATATTCAGGTTAGTTATATTATTACCTTTATTGTGTGACTCATTCACATAATCATTGAGGTGAATTATATTTAGGTATCCTAGTACTAAAGGATACAATTTCTTATAATGAAAATAATAGTAACACAGTTAAGTCTTGGTAGAAGACTCCTTTTGTTACTAATAGGAATCATAGGGATTCTAGGGTTTTTCAAACACTTACAATTCATATACACATTAAAATTCTTACACTACATAGACTTACAAATTCTTACATACAAATTAAGACACTAAATACTTATGATCTCACCAGCTTCAAAGCTAATACTCGCTTTCAAAATTACTTGAATCCTCAGGTCATCATAGACAGGTACCGATGCAAGGAGAAAGGAAGATGGAGCTTGTTCAAGACTTATCTTTCATTTTGATTTATGCTATGATGTTTATCAAAATTTGACAGAACACAATTGTATAATAATTATTTTATTAATGCAATGGATGATGTTGTTGCTTGTTTACTACTTTACATTATTGTTGATATTATAGATGACGTCCTCTGCCCCAGAACGTTTCCGCCGTTCTTGGTTTTGGGGTGTGACACAGGTTCGCAAGGTTCTGCTAAGCATAATTCCAAAAGTTTTTGAAGTACAGAAGCAAACTCAGCCCTGATAGACTCTCCTTAATTCAAGCAAAGGGGAGATTGTTGAAGATATTATGTTGCTTCATTAAGCCTTTTTGTTTAATTTATTTTGTTATCGGGTTGGGCATGTCCACGCATCATTTATTTATTAGGGTTAGAGTATTTATGGTGCATACATGCACCATGTTTCATAACTTTGGCAATATTCTTGTAACCCTAATCACGCCTCTACAATACCAATTCTTAATCGAGTTCTTATGAGGTTGTGGCTTATAAATCATTAAACACATTTTGAATTATTGTCTTGTTCTTGTTCTTGTTTTTGTTTTCAATCTGTTTTGAATATAACTGATCTTTCAAGGATTAATATCCTAACATATATATATATATATATATATATATATATATATATATATATATATATATATATATATATCTTTACTATCTTATAAAACAAATACCACTATTTCTAAAAATAGATTGAATAAAATAATAATATTTTTTTAAGACGTCCAAATCATTAAGCTAATTGTACAACTAATCACTAATAAAATAATATTAAAATTTAAACAAACTCCTATAAATCTTCTCTTCCAAGGTTTTGACCAGATCTTTTTTCATCTAAATAAATACTCAACACCCTATAATTTGGTCATTTCATGAATTTTCTTTATTTTTAATATGATATGTTTCCTAAAACAAATTAATGATTGAATTGAAAATAATCATTCTCTATCAAAAAGAAATTAATTGTCGAAACAAACTATTTGTCGCTCGCCGCTTTGCGCGGGTAAACGGCTAGTGTATATATATATATATATATATATATATATATATATATATATATATATATATATATATATATATATATATATATATATATATGATGTAGTTGATAACGATCCTTCTGTTTCTTGTACTTGAGAAGCCATAAACAATAGATGAATGGTGATGCATGATGCTGAATGGTGAATTAGTGATCGACATCCGACTTGGATATAGAAATGTTTTTGGAGTTCACTTTGAAGGCTAAGACCTTAATACTTGATATTGAAAAAAGATTTGAGAATTTTTAATTTCTGCAAGGCAAAGTTCAACAATACTGAGTCTTCTCAAAGATAATCACATGCTCCTGAAGATGTAGTTATATTTGATGATGAAAATGACTTCATGGGTGGTTTAATAGTACAAGTGGATTACCTATCGACATCAACAAAAATGGAGTTGACATGATACTTAAATGAGTGATCACTTAAATACAATAAAGATTTTGATATTCTACTTTGGTGAAAAAAAATGCATTTCTTTACCCTATTCTAGCTCGTATAGCGAAATGTATAACTTTTATTTTTTTTTATTTTTTTTTTATAATTATATTTTAACACTATGTTTGTATAGTTG